AGCAGCAGCAGCGGTAGCAGCAGCAGCAGCAGCAGCAGCAGCAGCAGCAGAAGCAGGAGGAGTAGTAGTAGTAGTAGTAGTAGTAGTGGTAGTAGTAGTGGTAGTAGTGGTAGTAGCGGTAGTAGTGGTGTAGTAGTCGTCGGTGGCAGCAGTTGCAGAGGCAGTCGCGACGGCAGAGGTGGCGTGAGCGAGACGGTACTGGGCCTAGCAGAACAATGACTACGTTGACTTCTTTTGCTGCTAGTATCGCTAGCTGATGCTGCTGATGATGCTGTTTCTGCTGCTAACACAGATTATCACGCATCCAGACTCCTCGTAGAGCCGCTTTGCCACGAAGGCCGACAGCGTGAGTGTGGTGCCCGTGGCCAACCTCGTCACACAGCAGACGAGGTTGGAATTCGGGCATGTTTGCCGTTCTGCACTTCTGCAAGTCTTTGATCCTTGGGGCTTTCCGGGATGTTGTGTGAGGAACGCGTGGAAAGCTTGGACTTGATCAATGAAGCAGACTTGCGCACTCTTGCAATGTGGGTGCTAAGAAGGCTGAATCGACGGCATTGTGGGCGCTTGGTTTTCCTGGAGGGTTCAGCATGGAAATCACTGCATCAGAGGCACACAGCCATCGCCAGCAGGACAAACACTTGCGTGTCGAAAGAACTCCCCCAGTGCTTCTCCTGCGATGAGATCATCTCTAGATTCGTTCATCTCCTGAAACAACCATGCAACCTTCAAGTACTAAATCAAGGTCTTCAACATAAACTACCAAGAATCATTTGCCAGAACGGCACTCGCTGAGAATGCCAGCACAAGCGCAATCGACAGAAGCGTTGTCTCCACCTTTGCTTGGTTGGCGGTGCTGGACAAAACAGATAATTAAGCCCGATGGCTCAACATGCATCCGCGTCACCTGATTCCAAGTTTTCTCGAGATACGGCTGCTGGAGGCTGTACGACATCAGGGAGGCAGATAGGATGAGGCAAACCTGGAACGATGAAAGCGCGGACTGCTGTGATATCCTGAACACATGTGGGGACAGGTACCCTTCATCTGGCCCTTACAAGACCCAGCACGACCTCAATGAAACTGATGCATACTACATCCTCTCCAAATCCAAAACTTGCACCAGGCCACACACCACATCTGTAAAGCCGGGGAATAGGAGATTGGTAGTGCCGCAGTCACAAGACGCAACAGCATCTTCCGCACCAGCCGCTCCTGGGTTCCCATCTACGTGTGCATGCCTGTGTGCATGCAAGTGCGTACCTGCGTATGTTTCTTCAATGGGCAACTGAGTGTTGGCTGTTGGGGGGCCTACACACCAGCTTGCGGCTACAAAGTTGCCGATGATAGGGGGATTGCCCGGACCGCATTGCAGGATTCTCTTGCAGTGTTGGAAGAGTATAAAGACACATGACAGATAGATAGAAAGATAGATAAATAGATGGATAGATGGACTCACTGATAAAACAAGTTTCATGGATAGATAGATTCATAGATAAATAGATAGATAGACAGATAGATAGATAGATAAGACTAATAGACAGATAGACAAACAGATAGATAGACAGATCAATAAAAAGACAGCAAGACACATGGACAGACTCACAGAGAGGAGGGGTGGGGTGGAGTGGGCGGGGTGGTCGGCAGATACACAGACAGACAGGTTGACAAAGAACATCTATACATGGGTTCGAGTTCTAGTACACAGATAAGAGAGTAAAAGGGAGGTGAAGAGGAGGAGGAGGCTATGGTGCTTGATGCTTGTCGTCGTGGCTCAATCTCCCAGTTGCGGTACTGAAGCTTGTAGTTCCGCACCAAGAACACCTCAGCTTGGGACGGTGTTTATGCTCAAGGCATGGGCTAGTGTTCAGGGCTTTCCTACCACTGCCAGGTCACCACATAGTCGGGAGCCGGAGAGCGCTTGGAGTTGGATGCCATCCACCATCCCCCAGCGGTGAGCAGAAACGACAGACCGAGCACGCTCAAGACAGTTTCCTTGCGCGACTTGGGTGGGAAAAATCAACCCCAGAAATCAGTGTCACTGCCATTTTCCAGTGGTGATCCTCACTGTTGTCCTGGACACTCTGACTACTACTCATGTTGCTCTGCAGAACAGGCGGAGGTGCCTTCGCATGTGGGATCGGCGGCAGGAAAGGATAATGCAGCACACCACCGACACTTTCGGGCTCCAGACGGTATCCCACCAGATACCTTGAGGCAGATACGGACCCGGCATCAGTGGATCTCCCTTTTCCAGACCCTGCCTTCCGAAAGACGCTGCAATGGAGGGTGCAAAGCAGTTGGTCCAGACCACGAAGGCGAACCAAAAGCCCTCGCGGTAGGGATGCGATCTATGCTTTTCCAAGCTGTCAGAAGGTTGCACAGCTGTTCTTCAATTGCCCTGACTTCCTGCAGGCAGATGAGAACAACCAAGAGCAGGCCCTGCAAGAGACTGCCGAGCAAATGGACCTCGCTTGCCCACATGCCACGGGCGAGGCAGGGACCAGGATGGAGCGCAGCCACTATGTCACTACGCTGCCCTACGGTATGTCATTCATGAGCAGGCACATGCCAAACCGTCTTCGGCAGGCCCAGCGAGGCCAGTAGGCATTCTCTCGACATGGTCCAAGAACTCTCCCCCTGGACGCACCCGCAGCAAAGAAGGGTCCAAATGAGAAAATGACTCAGCCGTTGGTGCCTGGGCCATGCCGCTGATGAAACTGGAGGCGTCCAGGCAAGATCTCAAACTGGAAGAGAGCATCTTGTAGGCTGCCTCTTCACCACCACTATCGTCGCCCATTTGTTACAAACTCATGTTTCTTCTTACATCTATCTTCTTCATTGTCATGGTCTTGCTGCTAGTCAATACTGTTGTCAGCACTTTTATCCACCTGTGTTACAGGTTTCTCTTTGCTACTTAAGTTCTGGATCAACACGTACGTGCGCTCGCTCAGCAAAGAGGCTGTCTGCACCATAGCACTCAGGACCGTCTGTGTGACCGTCGCAAAGGAAAGGAGCTGGTTCAGCAGGACACCTAACACAGTTCACGCTCAGCCGCTCAGCCGCGAGCGTTAGACTCCAAGATGGATTCCGAAGCTGTGCCAAGTGACCACTGTCTTGCCTCGTAGCAGATGCTCCGAGAACCGATGAAGTCGCCACAGCCAACAAAAGCGTGTCACTGAGGAGAAAGTAGGTGAGCTGCAAACCTGTCGGGACGTGGGCAAACACAAGGGAGAACTGAAGCAACTTTGAGGCAAACAAAAATGCTCACGGCGCGTGCCTTCTTCAAACCATCCGTTCGCGCACTTCACGCAAACGAGTACCTTTTTTTCCATGCTGGGTCAGTTCTGCTCAAAGGGCATCAGCGGGCCTCTTTTTAATGGTAGATGCAGGCTGCGGAAGAATCGGAGCGGCCAAAAGTTGAGTTGCAGTTCGCACATCCATCGCCTGCGATGGACTCGCCAGCAAGTCCCACGTGGCACACGACACCTGCGCCAGCCTTCATAGCCCACTTCGCACATGGGGTACTCGGGTGTCGCAGGTAGCCGCCCACCCGGGCAAGACTGTGCCTGAGCTTCCATGGCATGGATCTGCCAACAGCCCTTGCTGACAGCAGTTGCTGTCGCAGTTCTCAGGGCAGTCCTTGCTCGCGGTCAAACGTCCGTCAAAGAGTTGTCGATGTGACGATCGTCATCATCGACATCACCATTACAGATTCATCAAGATAAATCGCAGGCAAACTTTGAAACAGTGGTCGGGTTTCCCATGTCATGAACCTGCGAAGGTGGTTCTTGACCCGTGCTTCTGCAAAACTCGCGCTTCATGTCGCGGCAATGACCGCAGTGAAGTCCCAAACATCGAAAACATGTCGCGAGTTTCTGGATTTACTCTGCACTGCCATCTACCAGTCTACCACTTCACGAAGGAAAGAGAAAGGCCCTAAACCCTGAAATCGAATCGCCGAGGCTACGAGGACAAGGCGCATTTGGACAATGCAAAATGCGGCTGAAGTTGTCAGGGTTGGCCATCACCCCATGCTCCAGCTGGGTCATATTTGGGTCGCATATAGCCGCCTGTCATTTGCACCCCACCAGCCCATGGTTCGAAGACCGAGGTTTCCACTAAACCACAGCCCCTCTGCGAGCTACCCCCAAATCTTTAAAGGACTAAGGCCGCTTAGTTGACAGTACACCAGCTACCGGACCTCCGAAACATGGTCGTGAAACGATGCAAACAAGACAAAGTATCCTTGCCGCTGCTCACTGCTGGCCTCGAATGGGCACTTCTGGCAGGTGACATTCGTTTCCGTTTTGAGCTGCGCCTGGCCATCCTCACATCGGAAACCTTGCCATTTCATGCCCACATACTTTGAAGAGTCTAAGGTTTAGGGCTTGGGGAATTCAGGCTATGTCTAATAAGCCTGAGAAAAGAGAATGGCTCTTTGGCACGGCTGCATCCACGGAAGGCTTCACCGGCCGCAAGCTTGCTGCCAACTCCTGCAGGGAGACGTTTCAACGTTTACTGGAAACCACCCGAAGCTTCTCAGCACTCATCTCCACTTCCAGCCGAGGCTCCACTACCGGGAGCACATTTGGCGGGGCCCATCGTGAGGTTCAACGCGCGCAGATGGCCTGAGCTTTCGGGCTGCGTTTCCGAACTCTGACTCTGGGTTGCAGTACCGCAAAATACCCGCAAATATTGGCATCGCTGGATCTCTCTTCCTCTGCCTCTTACCAAGAGCAAATGCGTGATCAACTTCCAGTGCCCTTTTGGCGGAAGGGTGAAGCAGGTGTAGATGAACTCTCTCCTTCGTAACCCGTTCAAGAAATGTGCTTCGGAATCCTGTGTGTGACGTGTCCGGGCAAGACCCCGGCACAAGCTGGCGTAGGTAAAGAAACGACATGACACCCAAATGTCTTCCACAACTCGTAATCCACATGTTCCTTATGAAACAGCGTCGTTCTACCCGCTTCTCCGCTTCTCGTCTTAGCTTGCAGCTACTTTCGCTGGAGGACGCAAACAAATTGCCGTCTGTCAAAGTTCGCGCCCCCCACCTGCCCCTCGTGTGCGAGTGACGCGAATATTAATAGCATTATACAATCCCTTCTCGGACCGACAACGTCACCCTTTGGTCTAAATCCAAACACCCACTCTTCACTCTTTTCTGCGGCCTGGCTGCATGCTGGTGTCTCAGAACAATCCAAATAGTCGACTCTGGAGCTGTTCAGCCCCACGACAGCGGCATCGATCCGAATCACAGAATCGTCCACGGAGATCCGCGTGGCGCCAAAAGCACCTGTGCCACACCCCTGGAAAGCATCACTCTAAGCAAACAAGAAGAGGCAAGAAGAAATCGGCGGCTCGGGCTCGAGCCGCGCACATAAGCCAGATTCCCAAGCACCTGCACAAAGGGATCTCCAAAAGTCTGGGCCCCTGGCCCGGTTTGAGGAGCCAACCTGGCTGGCCGCGTGGTGCAGCTCGAACTCGTTCAGCTCAACACTCCCACGGCCGATGGACGCCACACATCCACCTCAAGACGCTGGGCTACTGCAAGCCGTCAGGAACCCTCTAAGGGTGGGTGGACAACAGGCGACTGCACTGCTGTGGCAACAGACCACAACAGACACAAGACCACCTCAGGGCATGGCCCATCAAGCCATAGGTTTCGGAGCAGCGGATGAGGCCGCTCGAACTGATGCCTCAGCTCACGATCACATGATTCATGGAGGGAACACTCGGTCAGGCGAACCATGAACAGTACATGCGACCGGAGAAAGGAAGCACTCGCGCATGGTGTTGGAGTACCAAGTGTGTGCCGTTAGCTTGCGGAAATTCTTTGGTGACCCTTGCTATACATTCGCCAATGGTTGTAAGAATTCCGACGAAGGCGTTCTTCTAGGCCCATTCCTTTACACAATTGTCCGTATCATCCGTCAGTACAAGGGTCCCGGTATTTATCACAAGACATCTCTGCTTGTCTACTGGTCCGACGGATATTCACATGTCAATGTAAGTTTATGCAAAGCTAGGAGTGTATAGCCCCATAACCATGCACACGAATGAATGTAAACCGATAACCACGAGCAACCCTACACTTCATCACCATGTAGCAGGTCGCAGGGCTTAGATGAATCAACAACTAATGTAACTGTGATCCAAAGAGGTGGCGGCCTCAAAGACAAGTTCCGGCATGATAGTGAATGTTGTGCAACGCCTGTCTTCAGAAATAGAAGTGGATGATACTGGGAGGGCAAACGTTTGTACAAGTGACCCGGATTTGTGTTTTTCGAGCTGAGTAGAAAGGCTTGTCGTGGCTTTCTGATGCAGGTTCTGATATGCAAGAGGAGGACTTAAGCGGCATTAGCTGAGCTACGTGAGGCCTGAGTAGAGAGCACACGAACTGGGCTGGAGTGAGTAGAACGTGCCGGTACCTAAATAGCCATGGTGGCCTGGATGCCTCGTAGCTGCAGGATCTACTGCATTTGCTGATGTTGTCACATGCTGGGCAACAAGGACAAAAAGGAACAAAGAGACGACTCAAAATGGGCTCAATTGCGCTCATGTTTCTTGCTACAGTCCTTTGGATCTAGGGCTGTAGCATCGATCAAAGCTGGATCAAGTTGAACAAGCTGCCGAAAAAGAACTTGCAGGGACTAATCCAAGCTGACTGCTAGCAGGCTAGCATGCACACATGCTTATTGTGCTGGAACTGGTGCTTCGAAATGTACACGCAGTTGTGTGAGTAGAACAACTTGTGAGCATTGCGAAGTCTGTTGCCACCTCATGTGGCAACGCCCCACATCTGGATGCCCACCGACTTCCACCAGCACTGGAAGGGCGTTGAGCAGCTCCCGTAATTTCTTGCCATGCATCAGGATTCATGCAATCGGCTTTAGCTACACGAGATTGGTGAACGTCAGGCTTCTGCCGAAGGGGAGCAAACTGGCCGAGTGTGTTTGTCTGCGTATCTGCGATCGTTGTGTGTGTGCACGATCGGACGTGCAGAATTGCTTTCTCGTACTTCCGAAACATACCAGCGATTGCGTCATCATTCCGATTGTCCTGCCTCAGCTGCCGTGTCCGTTCGGGCCCCGAGTGTTCAGTGAATTCTGACACATACAGGTGAGTCAGGTGTGAGCTTCATCTGACCTAGTTTAGTTCTGCAGTGACACCATCAGCCAAGGCCCTGACACCCATCGTTCTCAGACTGGTTTCATTCATGCCAATGCAAGCTTTCGTTGTTGCTGGAGTGTGTACACGCATCTCTCGCCACCGTGTCCCATCGAAGTTATCGTCGATTCCAGACACTCCCAGACACTCGCCGAGCAGCTGTTCTCGTCTGCAGCCTCTTTGGAAAAAATTTGGATAGCACCGCCCAAGCTGCCGGCCGTGCATGCCTGTCACCATTGAACACTTCGATGCGATAAAGAGTCAAGGATGTCCAGCCCTGTGAACGGACAAGCCGTGCCTGGAACAAGAGCTGGCCGGACCCCTGCAAGAAGCAAGAGCATCACAAAGCCTGAGCTCCTACAACTCGACAATGGCACCTTGTACCCTTCTGTCTGTATGGCGCCACCAGTCTTCTCAGCGGTAGAGTTAAAGAAGCTCATGCTTCCCCCGACCTCCCATCAAGGAGACCGACAGAAGCGAAAGAGGCAGGTCAGGCACTGCCTGCTTTAGCTTTCGGACATAGAGGCTGCCGCCCCGAACAGCCTCCAGTGACTCCACTGCGAAGATCCAAGCACGAAATGAACGAAACTATGTGCCACTATGCGCCTTGTTCTGACGAAACTGGATGGAACCAGATATCTGCCTCGCGAATGGACCACCGAGCAGCGAGAGACCGTCCAGTGGTCGCTGCAGACCCCGACAAGAGCTATACTTCTGTTACTTTCTAATGTTGCAATGACATCAATGACTCTGTCAGAGCAATCACGAGCCGAAGACCCCGTGTCTGGCCTGAGGATCGATCCCCCCGCAAAGATGGCACCTGCGAACACCACAGGACTCAAGTCACCCTCGGGGCTCCAAGACTTCTAGGGCCAAGGAATGAGGGAGGCGAAAGCATGCACGCCTCCGAAAGCGCCACTGGAGCAGTTTTCAAAGAGCATGTCCTCGGATGTGGCATTCGGGACAAGGCACCATAGAACTTGTCCGGAGCAGGTGCTCAGGCCAAGCTGCAGTGGCATTACTCTGCAAGTTGCCCTGGTAGACGAAGATGCCAGCACCATCGCTGGCAGCCTCACATCCCTGCATCGAGACATTGCCGCCTGAATCGGAGCGGCGGAAGTTTCAAGCGGAAGCTTCTCTGAGTAACTCCTCGCACCGTGACACACTCTGCTCTGAGCCTGTCGAGCGGAAGACCGTCTTGCGAGCTGCACGTGGCGTGGTAGTCCACGATGCTTTGCCTCCTGTCTCAGGGTTTCGATCAGAACGCCACGAGTCACAGCCCTTCCGTGCTATCGCACGTTTTGGTGTTCACACTTCCCACCGCTGGCACAGGGCTGCCGTATGCTGGAAGTGAGAGACGAAGTAACAGGGACCCGTACACAGCAAAGCTTCTCAAGAGAGGCCTTTGCCCGATCTTGCTTGCTGCAGCAGCGAACTGCCGTCAGTGCCCGGAGGCGCATTCCAAGACGGGGCATGTTCCCCCATGAATAAGGCTCCTGTGACCAGCACAAACACCGCCTCTGATAAAGTTCAGCGAATCAGCTTATCACGCTAAGAAGTTGCGGTGATGGCCGCAGTCTGCAGGAAGACGTCCTCCACGCTCTGCGCTGCAGCTTCGGAAGCGCAGCTCCGACTCATCCATGACGATATCGCGAGAAATCCTCACACAGCCTTCCATGTGCGCTCAGCCCAACTTGAGAGGCTCCACAATGCACCCGCAGAACTTCCATTAGAGACACAGTGACAGTGCCTCCCACATCTGCCTGGCAATCTTCAAAGACCGCAGAAGCCTCCGGGACGAACAACATGCGCAAGCGGCTGAATCCTGCGCGCTGCCGGGAACATCCAGCCTGGTGCAGCTCCAACGATTCTGCGAAATAAGCGCAGCCACCTTGACTTGCGCTTGTCCTGGGTCGCAATGGGAGTGCATTCGAAACAAGTGGGGGCACCATCGTGTTGTCAACGTCTTGACAGGCTAACTGGACCACCTACTTGGAGGTTCATGGGAAGTTATCAGTGGGGTTATAAGCCCCCTTGCAAGTACTACAGTAAACTTATAGACCCATGAACCTCCAAGTATTCGAGATCCAACACACCATTGGGCCGAAATCTGGTCCATTTCTTGAGCAAATCTCTGTCAAGTGCGTGTAGTGTTACCTGGCATACTGCCTTTGGATTGCCGAGATGCATGTAGTTCCTGTTCCTGTTCTTCCGCACTTTCGGGAAGAAGCTGGGGTTCGGTGTTGTCGTCGTTGCTGCCTTTCGCCTGCGCGGTCACGTCGTCACGGCTTCAAGCAAAAAGTGGCAGCAAACACCTCCTGCCTCATCTCCGGTATGAGGCGGGGGAGTGTAGAGTTTCGAATTACGAGCTGTGCTCGAGTGAGGTTCACCTTGTGCTTGACAAACAAGGCACCTGGCAAGCCAAGAGGTTAAGAGCAGCATCACATCGCACCCGATGCCATGTCTCAAGGCTGCACCTCCTTGAGGTCCTCCTGTGTCATCAGTGTTGTTGCAGCCCAAGATCGTCAAGCTGCCATCTGTTATTGTCAACGGACCATCCAATGTCCTTAGCCAAGCATTGGCACCGCAAAACACACCGTGGAGAAGAATCGATACAAAATGTTAGCTGCGGCTTTGGTTCACACACGTTCCCATGATCGGTGTGGTCGCTATGAAGGTCAAATTGCCTGGCTGTGACGTCTCATCATCCAGAACCCCAAAACCCTTCCATAGTGACAGCCTGATTGCTAACTTTCTCAGTGTCTGGGCCGCTGGGCCTTTCAACGACAATGCCTCTTTCACCACCAGAACCGTGTCGTGAAGCTCCACAACTGCATCGTGAGCTTCAATGAAACATCTTCTGCCTGAGGGCGACAAACGCTTGACGACATGTGTTCTTGTCCAACACTTTCCAAGAAAAATCGAACTTGTCCACAATATGTGGAGTGATTCACGATAGGGTGCGAAAGATTGTTCTGCCAGTCGATGAGCGGTAGTGTCCTTGCAACGTCAGTGGCTCGTCGCAATGCGTGGGAAAAGGCTCCACGAGGTCCTGAGCTGGCACTGCACAGCACACCAACGATCGCGCAAACACTGAAGCTCTCTAAACGCCACGTCTCCAAGGTCGTGTAGGTTCGCTCGGCAAGGACAGGCAGGATCCTGTTGGAAATACGGGCACTCTAGTCACGGCACCATGTGAGGCTCCGAAGAACATGCGTGGAATGGTGACACCTCCTAGCTCAACCGACCATTCCGTTCCACATAGCGCCAGGCAAGCAGTGATGTCTTGTGCTGCTGGCAAATGCACTCAAACAATCGCCCGAAATGCTGGATCGTTGCTATCATTTCCGCGCCAGTCCAAACCCGATGCAAATAATCAGAAACCGACCCCCTAATCCCTCCCTGACCCCCTTAACCCCGCCACACCCTCGCAATGCAACGAAACTAGACACTTGCGCGAGTCTGAACTCTAGCCAAGGTACAGGACAATTCCAAATGCAAATGCAGCTTGCTCGGCTGCGCCGAGGCCAAACATCGAAAGGAACCCATGGAAGCTTCAAGATGAACAAACAACGAACGTCTTGGCTAATGTCACATCCAGCCAAAATTTGCCACTTGCGTGATGACCGGCACAACGGCGATCAAAACAAACGTGAGCATGAACACACACTCGTTTTAGCATGCATGTTGCTTCATGCCAGGACACATTTCACATTGAAACTGATAAACCTCGGATTTGTGCGCTACAGACAGCCTTGGATTACTTGGATTAAATTCAACGTCAATGATGCCATTGTAAGACGAAGATCGCGCGATGTCACTGCAAATCGCGTGACGTCGGCCATCCAGACAAGTCCTGCTTGGTTCGTTGGGATAACAATAAGTTTTGGGGCTTCTACATTGCACATTCCATCGGCTTCCAGTGTCTCACCAATTCTCCAACACCTTTTGCCCAACACGGCTTGATCAACACGTATATAAATGTAAACTCAAGGATGTAGCCAGTGTCCACAGATATTTTTCGACCCGGTCAGAGGGAAGTGCAAGCGGGCTTGAAGATTTTTTTGGTGGTGCAGCAACGCAGCAGGTGGATAGTGAAATCTTGCGGGTACTTTTGCACTGACAGCATCCTGTTTCATGAAAGCAGTGGCAGTGACACTGTTTGACGGGCAAATACGGGAAAACGACTTGACGGTAGATCATCATCAGTGAGCAGTCGGGGATTCGTTGATTCGCAATTGTTGTCAGTTTGCTGGGTAGTGCTGTAAAAATCTGTGAAAAAATGACTGCATGGATGCTCGGCTGGTAAGTGGAGCGTACATGGTTTCGAAAAGAATGTGTCAGATTCGATGTTCTTCTCCAACAAACGGGGTGTCTGAGTAATTAAAAAACGACGCATCGCAGCATCCACAAAACCTACAACACCACAACACCCACAATACACAACATCTGCATCACCACAACATCTACAACACCTACAACACCCCAGCTACAACATTCCGACCTTTTCACCACAAAAAATACTTGAAGGTTTGCTGGGTTCCGAAAACTTTACGGATGTACTGACAATTTAAATGAATCGACATTAATGGTCGTTCTTTCTTTAGTCTCAATGCTGTGTCAGCAGGATTCGAAACAAGAATCCCGCAAAATCAAGAACTATACAACTAGCGAAAGAGCTTGGTTTGTTTGTTTAACGGCAACATGGGGCTGCGAAACACTTTCCTTTTAATCATTGGAAACCAGAGGGCAACAATCACGTCGACTATACGGGATACGGTTTTTTAGTTTTGCATTCGTTTTTCTGTGCAATAAAACATCAATGTGCCGCATTTCTAAAAAGCAAAACACCAACATTCAACAAACGGACAACAACTATGGAACACATCAACTTTTCTACTACTACCACCACGACTACTCTGATTCTACGACGACTTACTACAACAACGGCAACAACAACAACAACAGCTGCTGCTGCTGCTGCTGCTACTACTACTACTACTACTCCTTCTACTACTTACTACTACTTACTACTTACTACTTACTACTTACTACTTACTACTTACTACTTACTACTTACTACTTACTACTTACTACTTACTACTTATACTACTACTACTACTACTACACTTACTACTTATACTACTACTACTACTACTACTACTACTACTACTACTACTCCTACTACTGCTACTGCTGCTGCTGCTGCTACTACTACTCCTCCTCCTCCTGCTGCTGCTGCTGCTGCTGCTACTACTACTTA